CAAGAAATAAGATATGCCAGGCTCCTGTTTGGATGGGCAATGCCTGCTTGTTGGACCGCCCTCCTCCCCACTTAGTTGCCCTCACTTGAACCAAAACTCACTTCTCCTACTCCAGGTGAAGACACACTGGCTCACACAAAATCTCCTGGTTGGTCCTCTGGGTTCACACACATTTAAACAAGCATGGACTGAGTTGATGCTGGGCTATTCCCCTGAGTGGAAGAGGGATGGCAGAGAAGGGGAGCAGGAAAGACACGAGACATGGAGGCGTTGGCCTTGTACTAGAGGCATCATGCAGTAACACAAAACAGTCAACCCCAAATGGAACTAAAATGCACACTGAGGGTTAATGGAAGAATGCCTTCCTCCTTCTGGAATGTCTTGAAACTCTTCTAACAAACAACATTTTCTTAACATATTCAAGACCATATCAGTACACTAGGATCCAATTACGCTGCTACTACATTTAGCATCTCTTTTAAAGGATTTATTACTTAATTAAAAGCTTACTTTATTGGTAAAATGGATTCAATTGTACCCAAATTATTCTATTAGTCACACATTCTTTTCATAAAGATAATTTAAAAGTTAAATTTTAAAATGCTACAATTAAAAATAGTCATGATTGGCCGGGCGCGGTGGCTCAAGCCTGTAATCCCAGCACTTTGGGAGGCCGAGACGGGCGGATCACGAGGTCAGGAGATCGAGACCATCCTGGCTAACACGGTGAAACCCCGTCTCTACTAAAAAATAAAAAAACTAGCCGGGCGAGGTGGCGAGCGCCTATAGTCCCAGCTACTCTGGAGGCTGACGCAGGAGAATGGCGTAAACCCAGGAGGCGGAGCTTGCAGTGAGCTGAGATCCGGCCACTGCACTCCAGCCTGGGCGACAGAGCGAGACTCCGTCTCAAAAAAAAAAAAAAAAAAAAGTCATGATTGGCCAGGTGCGGTGGCTCACGCCTGTAATCCCAGCACTTTCAGGGGCCAAGGCAGGTGGATCACGAAGTCAGGAGATCGAGACTATCCTGGCTAACATGGTGAAACCCCATCTCTACTGAAAATACAAAAAATTAGCTGGGCGTGGTGGCGGGCACTTATAGTCCCAACTACTTGTGAGGCTAAGGCAGGAGAATGGCTTGAACCTGGGAGGCAGAGCTTGCAGTGAGCCGAGATCGCACCACTGCACTCCAGCCTGGGCGACAGAGTGAGACTCCGTCTCGAAGAAATAAATAAATAAAACAAAACAATAGTCATGATTTCCTCTTTGTAAGTCTTCTTCTGGAACCACGGTGTGTGCGAAAAGCCTACTGGCTCCTGTAATTAGGGGCTTCAGCAGCTCTGTGTCACTCTCCCTGAGGAGATGCTGGAAGTATCAGGCTTCATTCAAATGGGCCAAGCTCACCGACCCTGTTCTACCTACAATGAAGCTGAGAGACATGACTCTGAACACTTTTCTGCCATGAGGATAAGTTTCCAGGTTTAAATATACATTAATTACTGAAATGAGGAAATGTATACCAATAGAAATGAACACATTCTTGGAAAAGTGTCCGTGAGTACAGGGGTGATTTTTTGGTTAACCAGCTTACATAAATTTTTTTTATTTGATGCCTATTCATTCAGACATACAAAATATTCGTATAACAAATCACAAATTTGGCCAGGCACGGTGGCTCATGCCTGTTATTACAGCACATGGGAGGCCGAGGTAGGAAGATCACGAGGTCAAGAGATTGGACCACCCGGGCCACCATGGTAAAACCACGTTTCTACCAAAAATAAAAATTTAAAAATTAGCTGGGCATCGTGGCACAGGCCTGTACTCTCAGCTACTTGGAAGGCTAAGGCGGGAGAATCACTTGAACCTGGGATGGGGAGGTTGCTGTGAGCAGGAGCCCATCACTGCACCCCAGTGTGGTGACAGAGTGAAACTCCATCTCAAAAAGAAAAAACCACAAATTTATATTAGTCATGTTACATCTAACTTATTATCTGTCAACGTAAAGATTCCAGAAAGTAAAGAGGGTACAAATAAGTTGAAAGGCATCCCGTATTGATGGATAGGAAGACTAAACATGACTAACACACAATACCACACAAATGATCTACAGATTAAAAATAACTGCTGTCAAATTGGTAATAGCCATGTGTGCAGCAATGGAAGACATTCCTAAGACTTTGGTGAATTTTTATGTGCTTCAAATAACCATGGTAACATTGAAAAAGAATAGTGTTGCAGGATGCACATTCATGAGATTGAAATCTGCAATAAAAAAAAGAGAGAAACTGAGACAGCATGCTTCTAGCGTGGGGGCACCCCTAAGTATCACAGGTATAGAGAGCCCAGAATTAAATGCACACATACAGAGTCAGCTGATCTTCAAGAAAGGTGCCAAGAATACACAATGGGGAAAGGAAAGCCTCTTCCACAAATGATAGTAAAACTGCATATTCTCTATCAAATGAAGAAATGGAATGCTGACAGTGTGCTCAAGGTTGTGCTTCTCTCTCCATTTCCAAGACACTGGAGCTTTTGCAATTGAGCCCAGAGTGAATTTACATTCCAGTCCTCTGTGCACAGGGATGTGGTCTGCTTACCTAGAGGTAAACAGCAAGGAACAGACAAAATGAACGTGGCTGGCCCATGAAAACCTAACAGTTCATAGGGAGGATCCATTTCTCCTATGCCATCCTTGGGCCAGCACCACAGAAGAGATTCTGTCTGCGCAGGAAATTAAGTAACTGCCTGTGCAGAACTGTGTCCGAACAAAAAGCTCCTGACATTTTGGCAGTGACAGACGCAGAAAAAAGGAACAGGCGTTCCTCCAAGAAAAATCCATCTTTTAAAATAATAAAGCAAGAAGAGGTGATTGAAAACCACGATACTCAAAAAGCCCTAAAAACATAGTCAATTCTCAGGCCATCGATCACATTAAACCTTAGAAAAAAGAACAAACTCGGCGTATATTTACTTTCTCCTTCTTCTACACACCTTCAGTTTCCCCACAAGCAGCAGGTATAACCGGAAGGTGCTGGAATGCTGTTTTATTAGATCCCACCTGAAAGTCTTGTTACCTACCTGGAAAGGCATCCTCCTTCCCTGCTAGATTCTCCAGAAATCGGCAACTCTTTAGAACCACCACATCGGAGCATAACCCAGTCAGTGAGGAGGCTGCCACCTCACCTTCTACTCCAGGGCTGAAACACACTCGGCTCACACCCTCCCGACGGACGGGCCATCGCGTACGCAAAAATCTCCTGGTTGGCTCGCTCTGGGTCCACACAAACATTTCTAACGCCCCCTCTGCTCATAGCTATACAACTGCAAATCAATTTGCTCTCCCACCAGCCACCGCCCAATGTTTTTTTAGCAGGAAAGCCTGCAGATTAAGGTTTCTAGCCATATAAACGCCAGCAAATTTGTCAGAAAAAAGCTGACTTAGTTGAAGGTACCGTACCCTGAGCACGTGATGGGTAGAAATCTGCAACGAGACAAAGAGAAGATGGCTAATGGCGAATCCAGATAATTCTGCTGTAGGCCCCTTAACAGCAGCCTGTTAGTCCTCTTGTTGATTCAGAAAACTAGTGTAACAAGTGGTTGAATCAAAGCCGTCAACAGAACCAAACATTCTAGGGCACCGAGAGGACACCTGTGAAAAAGACCAAGAGCTCTTTCCCACAGAATTTTATCGTTTGATTGATTTAGATTTGGTAAATATGCACAAGGCCTAACTCCAAAAGGAAAAAAAACCTGGTGTCGGAGAAAAGCCTCCTGCATTAGCAGGCTGATGTTGGATGCCTGTCATTTAACAAACATCCCAGTAATGGTCCATGTAATTAGATGAACAAGAAACTCAGACTGACCTCCCATCACTCCACAAAAGAAGAAATTGTGTATAGTTGTACATAATGTGGCCTTGTCATATTTTTATTCCAAAATTAATTGAGAATGAAAGAAATGCATGGAAGGGAAATAATGTATACCATCGGTCATTTTTTTTTTTTTTTTTTTTTTTTTTTGAGACGCAGTCTTGCTCCTGTCACCCCGGCTGCAGTGTAGTAGAGCCATATGCTCGGCTCCACTGCAAGCCTTTTTTTTTTTTGTTTTTAGTAGTAGACAGGGTTTTGACCCCGTGCTTGCCCAGGGTGGTCCTCGAACTCCCTGAAGCCGGTCAGGCAAATCCTCCGCCTTGGCCCCTCCTAAAAGTGCTGGAATTACAGGCATGAGGCCCACTACACCAGCTGTTTTCTTAACCAATGACCTAGAGGCGCCTCTTTAGATCCCAACCGACTCTGCCCTGTTGCCTGCACGTGGTGTGCCCCAGGCCTTTACTCAGTTTCTTTTTTTTTTTTTTTTTGAGAATGGACCCTCGCTCTGTCTCTCCAGGCTGGAAGTGGCAGTGGCGGCGATCCCGGCTCACTGCAGCTCCACCCTGCCTGGGTTCTCACCTTCTCCTGCCTCAGCCTAACTGAGTATGACTGGGAGCTACAGGCGCCCCGCCACCCACGCCGGACCCTTAATTTTTGTGTTTTTAGTAGAGGATGGGGTTTTCACCATGTTAGCCCAGATGGTCTCGATCTCCCTGACCTCATGATCTGCCCGCCTTCCCGCCTCCCAAAAAAAAGTGTGGGTTTTAGCAGGCATGGAGGCCCACCCGTGCCTGGCCACCAGTGCGTCCATTTTAAAGAAAAGTAACCTTGAACGCGGTTTAGTTCAGCGCAAAGTACGAAAAAATAGGATATACTAGGCTCCTGTTTGGAGAGGCCCCAAATTGCCTGCATGTTCAGCGGCCCACCTCCTCCATACTTTAGTTGCCCTCGCCTTCAAACCCCCAAAGAAGATTAGTCTAAGATGAAAGTATTTACTGGCCGCTACGCAAATTGGCTCACTTTGTCGTTCTTATCAGCCTGCCAGGGCTTACCTTAGGGTCATAAGTCAATAGCTTGAAGAACCCCTGAAGCTTACCTAGGATGGCAATGGGCATTTGTGGGCTGCACACC